TATATATAAAATGAAAGATTTCTATTAAACTGGCGCCGAGGACGAGCGGTTCCTTTCACCACAACACAAGATCCGATCACATGCAATGTGTGGTCTCCTAACACAGTGTGAACATAACGAACAAAGCGTGCGTGTTGTATGGGTCCTGGTGTGTCTTCATCCTTATCAGACCCGTGTCTGCCTGGTTGGCACTTTCTGCTTTTCCCTCTGACCGGTGACACGGTGACACGATTGTCACGTGTCACCGTGCGACAAGGGGCAGCGCTGATAACTTCAATAATACATTTTGACTCACGAGTAGCATTATGTATTATGTATGCTTTTTATATTTCACAACTTCAGGGCATCACTCTCCATGAAAATCAATCTTGCTATGAACATCTGAGCAGTACATGTGATAAAAGATATGAAACCGCTGAGGGTGTAAATAAAGTACTGCTACAGTTTTCTGTCAGCTAGAGGAACGAAGGTATTTCATCAAACCAGAGTACCTGCCCCTGACCTAGAGGAAGCAGGAAATGGTTTCATATGTCTGGTTTCAACAAGCGGTGACACAGGTGGGATCTAACAAATAAGAACTAAATCATAAGGGAAGCTGGAAGGAAATTGTTGCATGTGTGACTGTACAAGTACGACAATGAGAAGGTTATACGGTCATACCAAAAAAAAGTTGATATCTGTGCACAAACATGAGTAATCTCTATCCAGGCAACCATTCGATAACGTCCCCTCTGATAGAGCTCCTCAGGTCTCAAAGGAAATACATGGGAGACTCTGCTCGCAATAAAAGCATGACAAACAGAAGGACTCACACTGGTAATGCTGGTGTCTCATGCAGGCAGATCTCTTAAAACTCTGACCAGCTGTCCAAACACGAGGAAACTGGATTCAATAACTGAGCAACTCCATTTACAAAGAGTTTAGATATGTGATTTAAGTTAGGTGTTTCAACTCAACGTTTTTACTTTTATTTTTCCAAAGATGTTTGGGATGTTTCTCTCATGGGGCTTGGAGATGATGAGTTTGAATGTTATTAACCAACAATGTTTAAATCTAATGACACAATTCCCTTTTTTATAATCACTATATTGATAATATAGCCTGTTTTAAGAATGCACTACTAATCTCACAGTATATTCCCACAATTTTGCTGATCACGTTTGTACTGCATGGAAGATTCATCCTCTGGGGACAATGAATGCCTTTATCAGATGTAACTCAACGTGTAAAAAACACATTATTTACATTGCTCGTCAACTAAACCAAACTTTTATCCGCGAACTGAGTTGTTGTATTTTTTTAATCGTCGCTTTTATCCTTGTGTCTCCCTGGTCGTCTCCCCCTCTTTGGGCCTCGATGTTTAGCTCCCTCCTCCTGGAACGGCCTGGCCGGTCCTTCAGGGAATTCCTCCTGCAGAGAGGAATAATGCTCGGGACCAGTGGGGTGTGTGTGTGCATGCATGTACAATACAGGCTCTTTGATGGTAAAAGAGGAGGATGGGCAGGTGGCCCAAGTATGTTTATGTGTGTAGGAGAAGGGAGACTTTGTGTAAAAACTTTCTCAGATGATTGAAGTCTGATGAGAATAACAAACATTATCCCCCTGGTATGACAGATGTCTCCTCTTGATAAATGCTTCAGAAATTCCCTGATTACTCCGGCTCACTGCGTCATTATGTAATATTTACTGTTGCTGACAATAGGCCGTGTGAAACAGCAAGTACAATTTGAGTTTGGATTGTTTGAATTTTTCCAGGGTCAACAAAAAAAACCTTCATGGTTACCTCAAAGAAAACTGAGGTCCTTAACGGGACATCAACCATTCCCTCATTGACCCATGATGTTTTATGGTTGAAAATTCTGGATTAATTAAGTAGCACGTTGGCTTTGCAGTGTCTCATCACAGAGTTCTTTTTGTTTTTGAATCACTCCAGAATGTGGGTCCATTTAGTAATGTTGAGGGATCAATTATATTGTCATAAAAAACCTCCCTCCTCATGAATAACCAGGGCCTACATACAGTAAAACAAATGACTTTTGACACATTTGATATAGATCAAATTCTTCTTTTTTTAAATCTAATAATTGCATTAATCCAAAGAAGCACGTTATCCTCTTTGACACTCACAAACTGACTCCTGCCTGCAGTCACCGAGGCGGCGTGCCAACTGTCTTCAGTGTCAGCTGATGTTCACACAACGCGACTCTGAGTCACCGCCACACTCGATTCCCGGAGCATTATTACCGAATGCCTATGGACCTGCACGAAGCACCAACTCTCTGAAACCACCTCTCAGGTAATTGCATAACCGCATCATTTCCCCCATTACTTGCTCATTCGTGAGTGGACCCCGTTGCTTTGGATAAAGCACACAGTGAGTAGCATCTCTTCCCCGCACCATGAATGCACTAGAAGATTGACCTTAATTGAGTTTGATTGCAGCATCTTCTAGCAGGGCTCAGCAAAAAAAACCTGAAAGGGGTTAGTGGTGTGTGATGAGATCTCTTCTTCTTGTTTCTCCTAATTATGTACATGGTGGGAGCGGTGGGGCCGTGGAGGAAGGGACAGGGGGACAAAATGAGAGCTCTACACTTGTGGGGGGAGGCTCCTTAGAAAAGACCCACAGTCAAGAATCTTTTCGATCACATTGAAATGATTGAAAATGAGAGAGGCGTTTTTTTTTTTTTGTCATACCAGATAATTGTCTCTAGTCCTGTCGAAAATTCCACTTATAGATCCACTTATGTATATACAGTCACCAAAAGCTCTAAGCTGTTATATTGTCACGCAGATTTGCATGACATGCCAGAAGTTACAGTGTCCCATTGTAAATCCATTCAAAGCTGTTTAGAAGGCTGTACTCAAAAGTGTGTGTGCTGCATTGTGGGAAATACAATGAATTGCCCTTTGTGTGAAGTTTTTGTGACAAAAATACTGAGACGTCAAAATTCACAGTAATTAAGTTATTTAAGAAATGAAAATGAAAATACATGTATAAAGCAAATTGGCAATGAATGCATCATATATAGAGTTTTCTTTATCTGTATTATTCTGTACAAATTAGTTAGTAGAATATTGGGTGGGAGGAGAATTCATTATAAACATTAACTCACTGCAATGCCATACTGCAGGGACACAGTTCATCCCATACTAATAGTAATTATAATAATAGTAATGACTGCAAATCTGGCATTTCCATAGCCTCACATCACAGTTGAGGATTTTCAGGAGGGATGAGAAGCGTAATGCAGTCCTCCTCGTTAGCAAAACGACCGAAATGTACGCTCCCTGTCAACCAGCCATCCCATCAGCCACAGAGAGTGCAGGGGGTCCGGGGTGGGGAGGAGAGAGGGGGGTGGGGGGGGATGTGTTACTCTAGTCTGTCTGATGCGTTGATCTTTCATCTGTTTGAGATCTGGTCAAGTTCTTACTGGCTCTGACTGTGGTGCTGAACCACAGACGGATGTATGATGACTCATTTGGAATCTCGCCCTTCCGTCAGTTCTCTGTTGCATCTTTAATATTCTGTGCAACAGATCCAATTTAGAGCTATTTAGCAAATATTAGCACGTTAACGTGCTAAACCTGGACGTTCAACGTGGTGAACTGTTTCACCAGCTGACTGTCAACATGCTGGCATTGCCACCGTGAGCAGTTGATGACTATCATTAAGCTCGGAGTTCCGCAACCAACCATCCTATTTACATGACACTCCCCATTTCCATGTATAGTTCCCCGAATTAACAGGAGTACCCTGACCTACGAATGCCATCTTATTAGCTCAATTAATTGCTGTCATACTTCATTCGTTATTCAGCATCTCTGCTCAGTGGACATCTCACTTGTGGTGCACACCTTTGTTTCTATGGTTACACCTTACTGTGCGCTGCCGTTGGGATTCAGAGAGTTCTCTGGAGAACTTGCACGCCTCACAACCTCAGCTGACGGATCGGTGAGGCGCGGTGGGACGGTTACACCCACCATCAAAAGAAGACAGGATGAAAAGGCTGTGCCTGCAGGACCATGTGGCCAGATGTCCTTTGCCTGCACCCTCTCCTCCTCATTAGCTCAAATTAGCATTCCACGGCGTTATTTGTGAGAAATAGGAATAGGACCCACAAGAGGAGCCAGGTGCTTAAAGACGACCATTGAAGACACACGCTTGAAATCCTGTCTTTGAACTACATCTGTTGAGCGCCTCTGCCGACCTCTGTGACGCACCCGACACTTTTCAGTTTTCTGGGCGGGTCCTTTAGGGGTCACCATCCCCCCACGGGGCAACACCTGGAGGCGGATGGTGAGCTTCGACCCCCCAAGAGGTAAAAAGTCCAGGTTTCAAAAGGAATTTGTGTTTCGGGATTTTTTGGAGGGGTTACAAGGGCAAATTGGTTTTTTTGGGGGGTGGGGGGGGGGGGTTATAATGTGTCAGTCCATATAGTTGTATCCGTAACTGTATAATTGTATTGCACAGGTAAGGCAGGTGAGCCCGTTTCTGTGGAAGATGGGGGTTTGAAGGTTGACAGGATGAGAAAAAACCTTCTCCGATTCGACGACAGGTGTGTGTCTTTATTGTGACAGTGTGTGTCTATAAAGGAGAGTGGAAAAAAGGACTATATCCCCAGAGCCACGTGACATCACAACGCGCTGCCGCCGATGACCTAGAAATGGAGCGTGCGTAGGCATCGGTGCGCTTTTGTCGCCCCGCGGCTCAGACAGGCCGCTTGCGTCGTTGATTACGTCAAAAAAGAAAGAAAGGAAAAATAATTCTTTGGGAACCAATTAAAAGGGAAACACTCGAGTAGACGGAATAAATGCACTGAGATTGGTCTCCTCGCGACCCTGTCTCACTCTCATTGTCTCACAATGCGCGCTCAAGCACGAGGATAAACTGGTGAGCACCATGAGTTACCCCCCCCCCCCCCCCCTCCCCGCACACACACACACTCACACACACACTCCACCGTCACCCTGTGCAACGATAAACCACGTTCCCGATGCGTAAAAAGCAGCGGGAATCGCCTTTTAATCGCCCACAATAATAAATATCTATACAGCGCGGAATCGTCGTTTACAAATTATTTTTTTTAAATAGGCGCGTGCCAAAGAAGGAGAAGAGGGGGGGTCAGTAGGCGGAACCCGGTCCACTCTTCACAGCCCACTTTGGGAGAAGATTACGCGCACAATTCCAGTGGGAGACACATGACGTGAACGCAGTTCGGAGGCGACGCGGACGGATGTAGTGGCACAGAGGCACGCAGGTCCACACGCCGCCGGTCGAGACGCAGACGAGCAGCAAGCGGAGCCACCGCGTGTGTGTGTGTGTGAGTGTGTGCGCGCGCGTGCGTGCGTGTGTGTGCGCGTGTGTGTGGAGACATCCGTGGCTGGAGGAGGACCTGGTACTTGTCTGGTAAGGCGCTGACAAGACGCCGGACGTTTGGTTCTGGCGCCGTTAACGACTGTGTTGTTTTTTTTTACTTGTGATTACCTATTTATTCGATTTGATCGACCGCCGAAACGACGCGCCGATCGAGTCCGTGCGTGACATTGATTTAACAGCTTTTTTTCTTCAAAAAGCCAAAGTGAAAGTCGAGTCGAGACAGCGGACCGATGGTCGGTCACTGGCGACACGCGAGGGCTTCGGTCGCCAGATAACCAGCTGTTGAGATGAGGGGGGGGGGTACACAACCGGGCTGATCTTGATCTTGTGTGCAGCGGGATGACATAGACTGAGTCAGTGATCCTACTTGGACCCCACAGAACCGCGCTCTCCTTGTCTTAGAATAAGTGGTTGCAATAGTATTGCGCTTGGAATGGACACTTATATTGGAATACCAAGTGATGCCCCCTCACTACGGCTTAGTCAGATGGGAAACTTGGGAATTTGGGGGAAGGGGGTCGCTGGAAGCTCCTCCACGACCCCGCATGCTTCGTTCATTGAATGCTCTGCACACGACAACCGTATTGCATGACTGTCACTCATATCCAATGATGCTGTTTCAGAAATGCACGTTTCAGGCACCGGGTGATCGTTGCAGATGCAAAGCGCAGTTTAAAGCTCCATTTCTGGATGGACTGTGATATTTTTAAGTCGTGCCAGTGAAGCATCCACAGCTGGCTGTCACCACGTCACAGCTGGCTACAGGTGCCATCTGGTCCTCAGTCTGGGGATCTTGCTTCCTCTGACAGACACACCATGGCTTTTGGTGGGATGACAGGGCATAGTAGGAAGTGCATCCCTAGTCACTGAGTCCTCCGCCATGACTCAATACCAGGGCTTGTGGGCTGCAGGTGACACTGCGACTGATGGAGCTGGGGAGAGATCACATCCGGCGGGCTCGGCCTCTGCTGCTGTTGTGATTGACTCACTCTTCTCTCTGGCTTGTCCCGGGCCCGTGTGCCGGCTCACTCCAAACCCCATGCCGGACTGAAATCTCAGTGAGAGCAGACTAATCCGGCCTCAGCCGGCGCTGGGTCATGCTGAGCTTTTGGGGTGTTGTGTTTGCAATTAATCAGCTGCATATGGGCCGGCCCGTATGTTTGTACGTGTTTGAGAGTGAGAGCGCGTGTTTGGGGCACGCACATGCAATATATATATATATAATATATAGATTTGAGATCGGTTACTAAATGTATCGAGTGACAGGGAAAAAGTGTGGGGTGCTACAAAATAAAAGGCCACAGACCTCAGTCACAACTACTACAATTTTGTTTTTGATTGAATTTTGATTCAAATCGTGGCCGGAAGGAACCCAGAAGTTCATTCATGTTTCTTCTACGCTTTTGTCCTCAGGTTCTTAAGTGAGAAATATTTATGACTTCTCTCTATCTGATTAGACCTCAACCTGATTGTCAGGAAATTCCTGTTTGATTTGATCAGGCTTCTCGGCCCCACGTGTTCTTCTCCTGCATCACTATTGGTTTAGTTTAAGAAATGAAAGCATGGGTTGGCTGTGGTTTACCACGAGAAGAAAGGAACACCCTGCGGTGACTTTGTCGATGGTATTAAACTTTGAACGGACACAAGCTTCCGTCTGGATTTGATGTTGGCGTTAACTCTTTTCACACAAAAGTAATTGTAACAAATTTGTGTCTGTTTCATAGAGGATTTTCTTTGTGTTTTAGAAAGACTGGAAAAAGACGAGATAATAACCTCTAAGCCCTGTAAGGTATGTCTGTGCCCAGTCATATCCCAGTATTTCTACATTTTATTTTATTTATGGAAGAGCTCTTCAAAGAGACAAATTGCAGCTTGCGTAAGGTCATACCACTTAGAGCTCATCTAACCAATAGGCGGCATTCACCCTGAACACCGGGAAGAGCAATAAATAGAATCTTATCGGGGCAGTTGTTTAAATTAATTGAAACTTAATACTGGCTGATATGTTCAGACTGCATTTTATTAAAATGGGACTGTGTGCATAATACCATATTAACCCCGATATGAGAGCCGTTCCTCAGGGGCTTTGTTCCTATGAGCAGTGAGCAATTCCATCGTAGAGTCATTGTCTTAATAATTAATTGATTTTGCCCGGAAAGATGACACTATTCAGAGAAGGAAAGCAAAGTTTACCAATAGGTGTCATTCACAAGTCAGAGCAGAAGGTCGGTTGGCGAGAGTCTCTCTGGGTTCCTTTCGGGTGTTGATTGAATTGCCAATCGCACTTCAGAAGGGCCGTGCAACGACACGCCGCCGTTACTGGCTGCTGACGGCCCCTGATATGTGTTTTCACGAAGTCGACAAGGAGAACACAATTCTGGTCAAGATGTTTTATTGGCGGACAGCAGATGTCGGGGGCCATGTCCTGAGCTGGGACGAAGTGTCCCTTTTGTTCTCCCTGCGAACAAACAAATGGAATACTACAGTGAGTGACTGATTGAAAGGACCTGACTAGTTACTAACTAGTTACGTGGCAGAACAATAGTGGATATTTATTGGCAAGCTAAAATATAGCAGATGCTATGAACGTGGCAACAAATCCCCTCTGCCTATTTCCTCTTCCCAGGGGGCTCGAGCAGCAGTGTACACTTCCGGGAAGTACCAACCACAGGAATCGGGTCGGGGGGGAAGTCAAAATCTGCTCTGTTCATTTAGAATATTGCGTGTGGATAATTGACTTACTGTTCATAGGGATTTTAAATAGTTGCAAATGAATAAAGCTATCTTTGTGTTGGTGAAATTATGTAAATATTTAGTGTGGATGCTGTCATTATATATGATTACCTGTATGGGCTTATTAGTCTGGTGTGTGTGTGTTTATATAGAGAGCTCAATGCTTTAAGGGGAAACTAGTAGGCGCGTGTGAGAACGGGTCAGTGGCGGCGAGAGTGACTATCTTCACCAACTTCTGGACTCTTTAACAGACGGAGAGAGGAAAAGTCTTACCCACGGGCCACCTCAAACACCACGAAGTCTGCATATAATCTCCTGAGTCTCAGCCAGGCCTGTAGTTCTGCTCATTATCCATCGTTGGCTTATTTTTCTCAGCGCAACTCTCAGTTCTATGGGGGGATTTGACGCTTAAGCCGCGCATTGATCTGCTTACAGTGGCCGCCTGCTGTGCTCCAGAGTCCTCTTGTCAGTGGACGGGGATTTGGACGTCCATAGCGCGGCGGCGGCGGCATGTGACAGAGTCAGCAGTGCAACATCCACCTCGGTGGTCGAACACTGCGTGAGTTGTGCTTCCAGATGAATGAATGCATTCGCCCCCGCGGTGCACTCTCTTCCTTTTTGCTCTCCTCCCATGTGACGAGGAGGAAACAGGAGTGAGACGAGTGGCCGATGCCAGGAGAGGATGGTACTTGGTTTGAGGGCGCACGATTGAGAGAAGACAGAGCGGCCATTGAGCGGTTTGGTGTTGAGGGAGCACCCTCTGGATGGGAGATGCTATTGTTCTAAGTCACCGTGCGTACGGCGTGTCACTGCCGTCCCTCATGTTCAGCCATTAGACAATCTTCTCATGGAGCGCCGGTCCAAAAGGAGACATACGCTTCATTTTTTAGTGGCAGTGTTTCGTCTCTGCGCTTCCCTCTCATTGGAACACTTTGTTGTGTTACCTTGTGTTCAGTAGTCCAGCCGGTTTCCCAGTTCTTTGGTGTTGAAGTCTGTTTTGGGACTCTAGTAGAAGTGGATGAGGCTTTAGGAGTTTCCATCAGATACGGAGCAACAATATTGGCCAGGCTGATTTATGTTTTGAAGGAAAAACAAATATCAATATTCTTCAACATTAGAAAACAGGGACACACACATGTATTATCTTTAGTTCTGTGTATTTAAATTCCTGCAAATGTATTTGTGTATACCAAAGACCCTCTGGTCTCCCTGAGTATCAACGCTCCGCTGCTATTCTTCCATTAATAAAAAAGGTTTTTCAAGCCAAACCAAATTGTATTCTGAATCGGTTGACGTGTTTGCTCACACTGTGTGCCAGCAGCAATCTGTGATGTTGGTCAGATATTCTTCATATATATTCATACAGTTGAAACAGAATGATTCTCAGTCTGCCAGTCAGTATACTGGCATCCATTCTTTCAGTGCTGTATTTGACATCTGAGAACAGGACAAATTTGATTTGGCATTTACCAGTCCAGCATTGTGTTACAGTCCAGACCGGGTCTAACCAATGTGAGTAAAAGCAAACCTTATTACTTCCATCCCAGTTATCTCGATCTCATCACTTTTCCAAATTCATTTTGTATGTTATTTTAAGTTAATTTAAAAATAACTTCTTATTTTAAGTTCCTTGCTTTTCACGCCAACCCCATTTATTCTATTAGTTTATTTAACAGGAACAATGGACAATCTTCTGCAGGCAAATCCACAATAGAATTATGGTATCAGACCACAATGCAGACGGTAGGTGAAATAAACAATTGTTTACAGCATTGTCTATTGTGTGGGACCGTGGAGTTGGTTGCCTCTGGTAGATACACGTCTTTTCCAGATTTTTACCTTAGTAGAGTGCAGACAACTATATTCTATTAAGCGGGACTTTGAAGGGTTGACAAAATTGTCACAAGGAAAAAAAGTTGTACTTTTCAGGACAGTAATGAACTCTTTTCTACACAATTTGGCATCTTCGTCATATCGTCATAAAACTCCCATTTTTTTTGCCTCTTCAGCATCCTAGCACAGTGTTACTGTGTGGCGCACAGAAGTGATGAAGGCAGCTCGCGAGCGAATGAGCCACAGGCCTCCGACCACATTCAAATCCAGTGAATCACTTGTTCTACATAGAAATGATGTAGTGGAACCAAATGTAGGGCTGCCCAGAATTGTAATAACCCGTCAAATATCTTGGAGCAGTTCATCGCCTGCAGAGCAACGCGGTATTTGGCATTGCCGCTGTAAACAGCGCTCGTACCTGCACCGCTTGTATGATTTCCGCTTTTTAAAATTTTATTGGCGGTGTCTGTTTCTGTTTGGATACGCTTTCCCTGAGTCAACAAGTGCTTTTATTTTACAACGCTTTTATTGCATTCTGCACCTGGAGATGTGTGTGTGTGTGTGTGTGTGTTTACTGCCTAACCGACACGCTAAAGCAAATGTGGATGCATTTAATTTGAGGATCGTGCAGATAACAAGAGGAAGTCTGCTTGATTAAACTTTCTGCCGGATTTGATAACTTTAGCAAGAATAATTTGTGAATGTCCATATCTAAAAAGGATTGCACTGGGAACTACATTACATTATGATTATTTTGATCATTTTATTGCACCAAGCAAAAAGAGGATGTTTAGTGACTGGATCAGATACTAATTACATTCCAAATACACGTGCATATCATTATGTAAGGCTCAGCTCATTTTGTCACATACAACCATGCTCATATCCTGCCTGCACGGTTTTTAAGATGTGTGTGTGTGTGTGTGTGTGTGTGTGTGTGTGTGTGTGTGTGTGTGTGTGTGTGTGTGTGTGTGTACGTGCGTACGTGTGCGTGCGTTGATGCTTTAGTGTCCCTTCCTGTCTGTGGGGTGTCCAGTGTCAGAGTTGAGCCGGTGTGACACAAAGTGTTTTGTGATTCTATAAATAAATCACATTTCCAGTGAGTCACTATCGCACAGGTGCGTCACGAGGTGCTAAAGATGATCCACTCTGCCTCATTCTTCCCTCTTTCCTCCATATGGCCACATGTTGTAGTGCGGCCACCCGTCGTACTCAAGCTACGACCAGAGAACAAAACCATTTCTCAACAAAAGTGACTACAGAACATCAAAAAATATACTCTTAAAGAGGAAGTGTTGTGAGAAACAAAATGTGTCTCATATTATACGGTTTAATTAGTGTAAAACTACAGGCTGGTGTTTGCTTTTTTTTCCAAATGTCATAGAAATGGATCGCTTTCTCTCTTTGACTGATGCTAATCCTCTGGTTCCGTGTGTTGTTAGTATGCAGACCAAGGACTCGGAACGGAGAACAAACACACAGGGTTGTAGCTCATTTCTCACATCAGCCTGGCAGGTGGATGAAATATGAAAAGTAAAATATAGCTTTGTGAATCAGGTCAGATTTAGCGTTAAAAACCAGCAACTAGAAGCCCAGGAATAATGACTAATGAGTCCTAGTGGGGTAATGTGTTGCTGAAAGGATTTGTTATATTTATGAATTCCCTCCCGGCAGCAATCAGTGACTATGATGCTCTGACAAAAGCTGGACAAGAACTCGACACCTGTTGCAGTAACATGACTGTAATGAGCAAGGAACCCGCCTGCCTGTTTTTCCGAGCATTGATGCATGCTAATAGTTGTCTTCCTGCTTGAACCTCAACTAAAAGCACAGCCAACCCAACTAAAAAAAAGGAGCTACCCACAGTTTCCGTGAAGCAAAGGGATTTAAATAAGTGTTGGTTAAACTGGTGAAACTTCACCGTTCCGTTTTATTCTTTCAACACATCCGCATGCATTAATCAAACCGGAGAGCATTGAATATAAATGGTTCTACTTCTGAAACGCTTGACTGGAATCACCTTCCTCATCGCAGTGGATATTAAAATGCACTGGTGAACAGATCTATCTGTCTATCCCACAGCAGCTTATGAGGACCCTGGAGATGGGATGCATGTCACAAATTGACGCACAAATCTCTCAGCGAGAGATTTTCCCCCGCTGGCTAATCACAGCTGTTCTCAGGGCTGCCAGCAAACAGGGAGATGACAAGAAACAACAATTCTGCTCAGTTTGTGGTGGACGTTATGAAATACGGAAATTCATAAAAGTACAAAAAAAAACCTCTACAAAGATAGTCACGAGAGACACTACACAAAATACTGTGGGGCGTCTTGTGGCCGACACTAGAGGGCCGACAGGAGGAAGAGAGATGGGGAAGGACGAAAGGGCCTTAAGGGAGCTCTCGCCTTTAGTCAGTAGATCGTGGAGTCCAGTCACCAGTCACCTCACCTAATCGGCCACCTGAGCGGAGATCTTCATTAGCTGTGAAGTGATTGAGACATGGAAGTCCCTTCTGGGCAGTCTATCCACCCTCAAAGGTTTACGTCGTGTCAATCACGATGAGAATTTAAACTTTCCGTCAGATTCTCGTCTGTTTGGTATGACAAACTAAAACTACACTACCCAGGGGCCTCAGCTGCCATTGGTGGGGAGAGGAAGGCTGGCAAATCCGAGCTGAAAGAAATGTTTTGGTGTTGCATGTTGGAGCAAACCACTGCCCCCGTGGTTCAGCCATAATCCTCGGTTCCACAGCAAATGGAATCCCTCATTCTGACGATAACTGTATTTTCCGCCTGGAGCTGTTGATGAATTCCATTCATCCAACCGGAGAATACGGGCCGATGGCGGTTGGATGCGTTGGCTGAGCGTTCACCGCTTACTTCAGGCGGCTGCAGTGCGCGGCGGCACTCGCAGCATCACTTGCACGCAGCTCAGAGTGTGACATGGCGGAGGGGTTACATTGAGGCGACTCTCCTCTGCAAGCTATTTTTACACAAGCGCAAGAGTGTCATGGAGTGACCTGAGCGGTTTGATCCTGATTTCCTGCCCAAGGGAGACGATGGGATGCGGTCCATCATCCCGAGTGTCCGAGTCCGTCTCAACTCTCTATTCCACGATAGAACGTTCTCTGGTAGATCAATTAGCTGCTCATCGGTGAAATTGTCATCATGTGTGATCTCTTAATCTGCTGGAAATCTCTTCCTGCTCACAGTCAGAAAGGGAGGATGAGGAATTAGGTTTGGATGCGGCAGTGCCATTAAAAAAAAAATCCTTTAGTAAGTGGGTTTTCATTTTCATTTCCAATTTTATGGCTCTGGGGAAAGTAGTTTTTTTCCGTTTCAAACGACCTCCGTAGAGGTAATGATGCTGAAAATGATTAGAAGGAAATTCCATTTGAAGAGACAAAGTATTCAAGCTTATTTATTGCATTAAAAGTGGTCTGGTTCTGAATTTGGTGTGAAAAACCGTCACTGATTGTCCACATGTTCTTAAGCAGATTAAGCTCTCTGAAAATCACAGCAGAGACTCAATTAAGGAAGCTTATATGGCCGCAGGACTTTGAGACTGTCATTAAGTAGTGACAGAGGGGGGAGTATTACACATTGAGTACTGAATACTCATTACATAAACTGCTCTCACACACACACACACACACACACACACACACACACACACACACACACACAAAGTGCATTATTCCCAGAATCAACGACAAATGCACACATGCAGAGCAATAAGTGAGGAGGAATCAGCATGCGCTGGGTTCTTCGGTTCAGGTGTCAGTTGAGGAATAACAATGAGAGGAAGAGCGCTGCTCCGTTCGCCTCCTCCCGTCGGGGTGACGTCTCTCAGCAGAGTCGCTTACGTCAGAGCCGAACTGAGGCGCATGCACTCGCTGTGCGTTGGCAAACTGAGGTGCTGCTTTGGACGAGGGCTTGAATAAACACAGCCTCTGCGGTTGCCGTGAAAAGACTCATTTACTCCCACCCAGAGCATCACAAAGTGGGATTAACTCTTGCTTAGGTTTCAGAAGACGGATACCACTGCGGAAACATTGGATTTCTAATGATAATCTTTTTTCCATCTGGTTTCTTTTATTTCATTTTCTGTCATAAAGCATTGTTAAACTGTACCTCTGCTCCTGAGAAGCGGTATTATTAGATCTGTAACATATATAATATACTGCTCCACTAAGACAGATTGATTATCGCCCTGTCAGCCCCTGATGTTCTGCAATGTTAAAGGGGGCAATTAGGAAAATGAGCACACAAAATAAACCCTGGTTATTCATGGAGGATTTCTTGAGGGCAAAAATGTTTCTCTTTAAGGGAAATTTCTACCCTGAATTTGAAATCACGGTAGGCATTAACGAACCATGTGGGCAGTTCCAGATGTTCTTTTAAGGAAGACGTAGAGCCTCCAGACTATAAAGCATTTCAGTTTTTCCGAGCATTTCCTCATGTGGAACTCCACAGTGGTGCTGTGGTAACTTATGTTCAGGCCCGTGGAGCTGAACTGTGTTTGTTCTTCAGCTGAATCTGCAATATTTCAGTATGAATATATCTTTTTTCGCCATAATAATATTTGTTCTAATTTCTAAATCTGCTGCCAAAGCTTTGTCCTACTTTTAAATGAGGGTATTCTCCTCATCATTTAGGCTACTTCCTCTTTTACCTTCATTTGCCTCGAACCTGGTGCGCTGTAGAACAAGCTTTCTAAAAACAAGACACTCTGATCTAGTTTACGTGTTTTCACTCAACTGCTTCCAAGGATCTCATGTATTGTCATGTATTTTATTGAATATATTGATTGTAGGAGCCATAACTCTGTCCAATCAGGTCTTCTGAAAGCTCCACTGCTTGAGGCCATTGAAGAGGCCCCTTTGTAGCCGGACAGCCCAACTGCCCGATTGTCTTTAATTCGCTCCCCCTAACTTTCTCGTGATTGGTCCACTATCTGAGTGGCAGTGCGGTTGTGTGCAGTGATTTGTACCCCGAGGAGGGCACTGCCTCTGCCATTGCTACCGTCAGCAACCCCAGCTACAACTGTGCATGAATAAAGGATACGGGCATTTGCTGAATCCAAGGTGGCGTCTTTTCAACCAGAGTCCAGTGAAATACCTTTTCAGCCTCTCGAGTGGTCTGGCGAACTACAGCCAAGGGGGCCCCCGCAGTATAATGATGGCTGGCACAATAGTAGCACTGTTCTCCGACCCGTTCCCAGGAAACCGCACAACATGTGCCATTGTCCACTGTGCTTTGCTGCCCAACCACGTTGTGCGGCTTTAGCCGGAGACACCGAGAGGCTTGGCTGTGTAGTGGAGCTCACAGCAACGTGGTTGGTAGGACAGGTTCATAGGACCGCGGTCGAAGACCATGGAGGGTATTCATGGCCTCGCACTGCGTTTGATGTGTTAAATTAATATTACCAAAAGCTGACTTATAAGGCCAGGCGGACGAAGCCAGGGGGTGAGGGGAAAGGGAACGCCGAGTGGTTGCCAGGGATGATGGTGCAGGAAACCCTGAGCATTGTTGTTGGGTTGAACCTTCCTCAATTAAAGAGAAAACCAAGAGGAAAGTGACAAGCAGAAAAATGAAGGCACAAAGACGGCTCAAACTGGTTCCTAGCTGGTCCGAGCTGGTTCTTCTCTTTTCATCCCAATGCTGAGGGGTTTAAACGTTTGTGCGTGTTCCTCCTCTGTGGCCCCCGACGGGCTTTCCATCAAAGCCTCTAGTGCTGTTTATGCAGCACAGCAAAGGAGAGCATTCAGGGCCTGCCGGATAGAGGCCTTTGGTCAACTGCATGCAGGAGATACATGTGCTTTCTAGGCCTTACAAGTCAGCTGGTCAGCTGAGACACAGCAGCAGGATGCCTGGGGAACAGAGGCCTGACGCAAAGCCCACTGTGCCACAGCTAACTGAAAGCCTGCTTCCCCCGAGCGTTGACCCGCCAGTTGATGTGTTGATTATTCATTGGATTTACTTTCAACACTATAGTTTGATTTACAAAGCAGGATTTGGATTTTTTCAAATTTTGGTTGGCAGAGAGAACTTGTTATTTCCATCCATTCATATTTAGAGTAGAGTCGGTATAGTACATATCGTTGTCAGTATGGACACGTTTTTTTGTAGTACGGTCTGAATGGGGTCAATTTAGTCAGAATCCTCATAAGTCGTCAGTCCCATCAAGCCACAACTGCAATATGTAATTTGGTCACTTAATTGTTTTAATAGGTTTGCCAAGAATTTAGTTTTCAATCTCTTTTTTGTAGAGTGATTTGGAGTTCAGTCACGTCTTGGTTGGGCATTAAGGAAGATACAGACTTACCTGAGTGCTCTCAAGGTAGCCTCCTTTATCTTCCCACATGCCTCTTGGAAACTAAGAAAGCATTGCCAGTACCAATGTAGTCAATGTCAATTTCTGATTGAGCTGGACTTAATCTTGTGAAATTATTTAGGGCTAAAATCTGCCCTCAGGATTTAAGAGAGGTGGGCTGATGTCAGTGTCTCGCTGTGAAGCTTCATTTGGACAATATGAATTAGGAATCTAAACCTTTAACCTTCAACTGCTGTAGTCCATAGCACCCAATGTAAGCAAGTCTTATGGTGAGTCTTATGCAATATCAGAATCTCCAAAAATGTCTGTCCCATTTTTCTCATCTTTGGGACAATGTGTTTTTCTAATAATCCAAAGGATTGACAGGATCCATCCATCCATTGTCAAACCGCTTATCCTGCACACAGGGTGGCGGGGGGGCTGGAGTCCATCCCAGCCAACTTCGGGCAATAGACAGGGTACATCCTGGATTGGTCGCCAGCCAATCGCAGGGCAACACAGAGACATACAACCATTCACACTCACATTCACACATCTACAGGCAATTTAAAGTCCCCAATTAACCTGATCCCCAGAGCATGTCTTTGGACTGTGGGAGGAAGCCGGAGAACCCGGAGAGAACCCACACAGACACGGGGAGAACATGCAGACTCCACACAGAAAGGCCACTGGGCGGAATCGAACCCAGGACCTTCTTGCTGTGAGGCAACAGTGCTAACCACCACGCCACCGTGCCGCCCGGATTGACAGGATGACATTCTTAATTCAGATCCTCTTTAGAAGACATTCTGGGATCCTAATATCAAGACTGTTGAATATTCTAAAAGATGTAACACAGAGAATAAAGAAATGATAGGCCCTGCTAGTCTGCTTGATTAGACCTCTATCAGCGTGAGGTTATTCAACTCCATGGTACAACACGAAAGATAAAGCATCACTTTGTTTCGCCTTAGCAGTTAAGATTAAGTCATCAGGAGAAAGAAGGAGCTGTCAATTAGATTCAATCAGTAAATAAAATCCCCAGTGTGGATATGCAGAGCCTTCAATGCTCATATGTGGTCCGTTCACAAGTTTCTAATTCAATTATATGTATTCAATGAAACCAGTTTATTGAACTTTGGTATTTATATTCTTTAGTGTGCATCTAAAACTCTCATCTTTACGTTTTTTGGATTTCAGTTTTTCAGGATGTCGCAGTAATAAACCTTTTTTTTTCTCTTTTTGCCCAACAGATCCCAGGGAAGGACAGAACAATTCCTTTCAGTCACTCACACAGCCTCATACACCCTTTTAAACAGACTCCGTACTACGTACACACGCAGGCGCCAGAGCAGATATGAGTGGGGATCGACCAGCTGATTCTGTGGAAACTGGCCTTGCTGAGGCAAACGCTGTTCCTAATGGAAAAGGCCACGAGGAGGAGATGTCATTATCGGGCAATACACCTTCTGCAGACGCAGGTGAAAAGTGAGTATAATCCTCTCTGACTCTTTAGAATTTACGTTGTTTAGCGACAAAAATCTGGCCATACAAGTCATATCTTTATGCAAAGGTCACCGATCAATATATGGCGATGAATGGACATTTTTCTAAATCTAATTCCAATTTTAGCAAAACTGTCAAAGCGTAAAGAAAAAAATAATTTCCTTTTTTACGTAGCCAGATCCGAAGGATCTGCAAAGCATAGTGTAACAACCTGTAACCTCCAACAACAAATAGATAATCGGGCATCTTTTTTTCGGTTGTTCTTTCGGTTGTTGTGCCGCTATTTAAGGAACGTGATTTGATTCCCTGGTTGCTCTTATCTTAATGTGCCGCTTACTGAAGGTGTCACGTGTCTTCTCTCGTGCGTCAGGTCGTGTTTCATCCCGCGTGTTAACAGAACATCAAGGGGAATAGAAGGGTTGTCACATGTTGCGTACTTGTGCCTGCTGCTTTGCTAATCATCATGTTCACTCCTTCAAAACTAGAGGGACCCGACTCCCTTATAGAAGTAAGATACAATGTGATATATTTATTATCTCTGTATAAATCAGTTACAAATATTTAAACGATTTTGCCCAAATGAAATCTGTAAACGCTTGGTGCAGGTACTTATACTGTGTGTCTAGGAACTGCCAGGTGATACCTGCTCACTCACCGTACACTGATGCTTGCTGGATAACTAAATGCCTGATTACCATGTCGCTGGTTATCGAGCAGTGTTCCTATGTAATTGGTTAATTAAATTCTCTCTTTCTGAGATAAAGACGATAATCTACAGATGGTCCCTTCACTTTATCATTTCCCTGACTATATAATGACTCAGGGTGTTGTTTTTCCACTTTGTGCTCTCGCTGGGTGACGGATGGACTTTCTCTACACTGCTTGTAGGGGAAATATACCCAACACTGCCCAGAATGATAGGTATGTTTCTTAAAAAGGAACCGGGAATGTGCTTGTCTCATAGTGTCTTCTAAACCAAAGCCTGTTCTACAGAACAAATAAATGAGTATTGACTATTTCTTTCTCATGTAGTACTTTGACAGCATTCCTTTCCATTACTCCGCACAGAACTGAGATCATGGAGGCCAACCTCCCAGAGGGCCAGGAGTTCCTCTCCGGGACGGAGGACAAGAAGAACCCTCACTTTACAGATGTAAGTTCAATACATCTTCACCTCGACCTCTTTTACTCAACTCTCTCTCTCTCGATAGATAGATGGATGGATGTACTTGCATACACTGGCTGATGATCTAACGTGTTTATTCCTCTCCCCTCTTTTGCCCCGGTTGTAGTTTGAGGGGAAAACCTCGTTCGGGATGTCTGTCTTCAACCTGGGCAATGCGATCATGGGCAGCGGAATCCTAGGACTGGCCTACGCCATGGCCAACACGGGGGTCGTCCTGTTTTTGTAAGACTCCAAACGTATTAGATACACTCAAAATGTAACTCCATGATTTCAGATGAGAGGACGGACTTTTTGTCCCTTCCCGCTCTACAGCGGAGGTCTGAGTCACAAATAAATAGCAGCTATTTGTATTACAGCTGTCTTGTAGTTCCCGGTTATGACACAGAGGCAGATGACACAGTGGACATTTGTGTGATAAATTAAGTCCCAGATTAATAAGCTACCAGGAGTCATCTACACACTCAGCTTTAAACGGGTACAATCACAATTGACGATGAAAAAAGAAAAGGAGCCAGTGGGGCGTAAGTATGGTACGTATGAGGGGCTTAACGTATCAGAACCTCTGCAGCAGGGTTGTCTGTCAGGATAATGATGTCACAGTTGGCTGCGGCTTCCGGGTTGAACATTTCTATTTTAATGCAGATGCCTTTTCTGCCGAATTTCGATTCACTGGAGGTCCTCTGACATTTGAGGCTGCAAGAAGTGCTCACAATTCTTTTGCGCCTTTTATGGTATTTGTTGACGTTGAGAATATCCAGAATAAATCCTGCCCTCAGAGTTTATTCAGTGACTTGTAGCTGGTTTTCAGGAAGTATTGCCAGCATCACCATTTCATTGCGTGTCATTAGTCTCAGATTTCTCCTGCCTGAATTTTCTGGCACCTGCCATAACAGATTTAGTTGACTCGATTTATTATGGATTGGGCATAAACACTTAAACACGCTGATGTGGTTTGAGTGCTCATTTTGGTCCATTATGTATTCACCGATTCTAAAATCTCTGAAATCTTTTTTTCATGATGTTTCTAGCTGTAATCTGTATTTTTCTCAAGAATAACCAGGCGTGTTTTTCCAGCGGGCAATCTCACCAGATGGCTTTGCCATTAACACCTTCCCCTCCTCATTTCACCGTGCTGCTTCAACACCTTCTGCTAGTGATCGATTGTAAGGTGCAGAAACTGTGTGAGCAAAGGATTTTTCTGAGAACGATTAAGTTGTCCGGATTTATAGTTCTTAGCACTGCTGTTAGCTAAGCATCCCGGAATTAAAAATATAATACAGAGTATTAGTGAGAGGTGAAGCAATGTTTGGGATGCTTGTATAAATCTTTCTTGGCTTTTTTTTGGATTTGTAGTCATGGTGAAAAAAGTCTGCCTTTGTAAGCCAGAGGGAGTTTATTCATCTCATACCAAACTCAACACAACATGAAGGTGTGAAAGCAGATTCATCTCAGCTTTTAACAGTTCGATCCATCTGGGAGGAATGTAAAGCTCGTTTTAACTGCCCGCGCTGCCCCAAAATATTCCCAGAGGGCGTTATTTGAGTTATTTTGTACGGCAGTCATGTCAGGATTAGCTTCTTATTTGGAGCTGAGTTGTGTGACTTCGGCCTTTCTCGCTGTCTCCTGTCTGGACCGGCTGAACTCTGTCACCGAGCACCAATGTCTTTGACACCAAGGCGGGTTTAACTGAACCGCACTTCCCAAAATACACCTAGTTTACTCGTGTGCGAATTGACGGTACGTGACTGAATGCAACGATTAGCGTGTATTTCCCGTCCTTTTGGGGATGAAAGTGTCATTGTGTGCATATCTGTACAATCTTTTATAAAACAATGGAGTAGCTACTAAGAATACAGGGAGGGTCAGTTACAATTTATCCTTTTTCTCCCACATTTCTTCTAAGCTGGTAATCCCTTCAAAAAACGTTTCATCTGTTTTTTCCTACCAGTGTCATTTTGAGCCTCAGGTCCTGCTAAAGGGGACCAAAGGCCTTAAAATAGAAACACCAACAGTAACAAAATAGGCTTGTTTATTTTTTGTTACATGGGTGGTTCCCATTCATCTCCACTGATGGGTTGTGTGTTGCAGAAATCTAAATGATTCACTTCAACCTTTTGTTGAAGAGTTGATCAGTTCGCGCCACATATGTCAACATCTGCTCATAATCGTCAATGCCTTTTGAATTCTAACCATATATCTATAAATATATTCTGTGTCGTTAATCTATAATTAGGGATTAGGTGAACAAAAGGTGTGTTTGACGGTTCGCATGGCAATCGGTACCTTCTGAAGCCAATCCCGCTTGGAGTTGCGACCCTTGTAGTGTAAGAAATAATGTGAAGTAAGGACCGTTTTTGTGACTCACGATCTCAAACCAGATCATCTCTGATGTTAGAAAGTTCACTTTTCACTTTCCCCCCCATGGCCCGACGTTTCATACCACGCAGATTTGTGTTGGCGGGTACCGAGGCTTCAGCGGGTCAGTGGCCTTCGCCTGCGAGGAATGCAGCGCTGTGGGCGGAGCTACGGGGAAGCGTGTCAGTCTGTCTGACTGTCAGCCAATATGTCCTCCCATTGCCACTTGACTCACTAACTCCTCCACTGCAAGTCAGCCCAGAATTCTTTCACATAGTATGACCCCCCTCCGACCCCCCCAAACAACAGAAAACCTGTTAACTGGCCAAGGGTTGAAGTCCAGTTGAAAGACGTGCGGCCCGGCTTTTCCAAAAAGAGAGCTGAATGGAGTGTGTGTCCGAGAGAGAGAGAGAGAGAGAGAGAGAGAGCTAATGTCACCTTTACTAACAATAAAAGGGAAAGAAAATAGTAAATAGTGGGAACGAGGTGGACTGGGTCAGGGAAAGCCAGTAGATCAGGGACCCATTCACAAAAACCTCCCCGTGATGGGGTTTCTTACAAAAGTCTTAGAAGGGATTTTTCTGAACTACCTCCCCTAGAGACCGATGTTAAATCTAAGATAAGACGTAGTTTGCGCGTCTCAAGTGCTATTTGAACTATTTAAAACATGTGAATGTTCATAGCAGGTTCTTCCAGTTCTGTTATTTGGTCATGCTACTGTCATGTGAATCATTTTGAACAGCGCTGCGTGTAGTTTTATGGGCTTTCAATACCAAAACATGAAAACATATAAACTTGTTCTGGAAAACTCTTAAAACAAAAATGTTACCTGAACAGAAGCAGATATACGGTACATCATAAAACAATACTACTTCTTTGGTAATTTCATTTCAGGTGTTTCATTGAGGAAGAGTAAAGCAGAGCTCCGGGTGTAGTTTCATAACGTTCATATTCATGTTCAGTAGAATATGTTGACATGAATAAGAAACCTCCAAGGAACCAAACAGAAATGTGATAATCCAATAAATAAAATAATTCAAGGTAAAAATCTAAGCTAATACATCAGCTACAGCACATCCACATCCGTAACACAGGAGGAGCAGGGGGAAGGCCAGGCGCAGCGGATGAGGGAAATGGCAACAGGTGTGCCGGTGTGAAGGGTCGCGAGGTGAGCAGGACACCACAGTCTGAGGGCATCTGGTGGAGGGTTAGAGGATGGCAGGTGTGGCCAGTGAGACGAAGGTGGGAAGTGAGCGAGAGCTGGAGACAGAGAGCCACAATATGCCGAAGAGGAATAATGTGTAAAAAAACGCTGAATATGAGTCTCTGTCCTCTCAAATGACTGAAAATACAAGGAAAATCGCTGTGGCCAATGCAGGTTATTCCACCACTGATGAACAAAGATGAGAAGATTAATGTTAAGAGAGGATTTCCCTCATTCTATCAATCTCAGCTATGCGTTGGAAACGCTTCTTTTTGCAATTGTCCATCTGGTGTGTGTGTGTGTGTGTGTGCTTACTTACTGTGTCAGAGGGCAGTGAGGCTGACATGGTCCCCTCCTTGGCTCAGTTTGAGGAACAACAGGGTAAAGCAGAGCCACAGGGGCTCTACTCTGCTATCATGCCCAAAATCTATGCCTCTGCTGCAGCTGTGCAAACAGCCTGCAGGGCAATGTGCGATGTAAACAGGTAACATACGTGTTAAAGAAGAGGAAGTAAGTCTGTTCTGGATTCTCTGTTTCAGGGTACTTCTCACAGTGGTGGCAGTCCTCTCGTCGTATTCCATCCATATACTGCTAAAGTTGTCCGGTATTGTAGGTATGTATGTAGGTTGATCATATGCATCTTCTGATTCAAGCAATGTATTATCATGTGTATTAAAATCAACAACATCAGATAGTGTATTCATTAACAATGTAGCATTCTGATCATATTTTTGTTAGTTAGTTAAAGCATCTGCAGCTAGCTGTCACCGCTTCCTTTATTTTAGGTTTAAAATGATTAAAAACATTAAGGGTCTCAAGTATAAGCCTTGCCTGCAGACTATTGCAGGATCCTGGAGTATATTGAAGCAGATTTTTTGGGCCATATTCAGAGAGAAGGCCCTTTTAAACTGAAGCCATTGGTCCAACCCAAGTCTTGACTTTATTGCTAAAATAAGAACGTATGCATTGCCCTTAAAGCGAGTGCTGTACTTCAATGCTACACTATTGGTGCGACAATATCCTTTACTCAAGAGCAGTGAGAATAATACGGGTCTAGCGTGTTGTTTCTGATGATGGCTTGTGCGCTTTCCCTCTCCTGACATCATACTGAACATTTATCTCATTCAAGTACAACGTATTGCTTCCAAATACTTTGAATGCCTCCTGAGTTCTAGTACTAAGCCTAAGAATATTTTCAATATTACACTGTCAGAGATTGACATACGTGTTTTGTAGACAAACCACTACTAGGTCTTCTAAGAAAAAGTGGAGTTTGCTTCCGCCTTTTACAGTACACATACTACTAGTACTCAGTGTACCAATTCATAGTATAAACCATCCACGGAAAAACCATCTGTATGACATACTAGTAAATCATTGATCACTTTGGGTTGTGCACACATTGACAGAAAGGTTAATTAGGAAAGCTCCCTTAATCAAACCTTATCAAACCTCTAAATGATCCTCTAATGTCAGATATAAGACACAGTGTATACCCATTACTCTATGACCAGCGGCACAACAATCAATTCAGAGTATTATTCAATTTACAGTCTGTTTACAGTCCTAGACCTTGTTTATTATATATTTAACAATTACTTTTGTCTGGAATTTGTGGATTAGGTATTCGTGCGTATGAGCAGCTCGGCTACAGGGCCTTTGGGACCCCGGGGAAGATGGCGGCGGGTATCGCCATCACGCTGCAGAACATCGGAGGTGAGGTCACACAGCTATTTGCCCTCACTTAACCTCTGCTTTGATTGCATTCTATGCTTAGGACATTTGGACTATTACTGTGTAAGTGTCCTTGTAGTTAAAGAGTAACTCATTGTTTGTATGTCCTTTTCACAGCCATGTCCAGTTACTTGTACATCGTCAAGTATGAGTTCCCCTTGGTCATCCAGGCCTTTCTGAAGCTGGATAAACCTGCAGGGTGAGTGGCTAATATATGACTTTAAAGTTTGCATTAATACTCTAAGACTTCACATCCAGGAAACACAGGGAAGGAATCCACTTTGTATCAAAACGTGAATGTTTGAAATAGATTCCATCCGTTTATTCCTGTTCTTGTGAGAAACTCACTGGTGAAAGACAAAAACAATGAATTTGAATCAATCCTGAAGATTTCCGTCGTATTTTCTTAGTGATTCCCGTGGTTACCGGTGGGAATGGTAAGTATAGTTTAACACTACAGCAAACGCACCTCGTGCAGATACATTGTCAAAAATACAAAAAAACGATGTATCTTTCAGCGCTGCCAAATAAACCGGATCAAAATAAACTCACTAATTCCACTCACTGGAATTTATGCATCTGGATCATTGTCACATCTGTAGATACTGGCCATGCCTCCTAAATGTTTAAAAAAAAAAAACCTGCTCATGAAAATAAAAATAGTAGTGGACATCCCGCCACTTGACCATGGGACCTTATGCAGCCGTCCCGCCTGTGCAGACGCTTCAGACAGAGGAGTCGGGCTGTGCCGTTCGGCGCTGCCTCGTGCTGCTCAGGAGGAGAACAGCTGTGATAGTGACCCTGGAGGAAGAGAGCAGCGCGGCCGCTCGGTAACAAAACACAGTTAGACTCCACGGCTGAAAAACGTAAAACCGTGGGATATCGCTGGCTAGTGCAGGTGGCCTCAGAGACAAACAACACTCGCTCACTTCGACGGGGGGATTTGGAGTGTGGTGGCACACAGCAGCCTTTGCCCCAGTTAGAGTCTCTCCTCACCTGCTTTCCAGCGTTTGAGTGTTCGCGGAGGAAAAGGGGGGAGAATTGGGAGTTTATGATAAAAGTGCAAGTTAACTACATGATCCACATGAGGGAGCGTGGAAAACACCTCTGCTGTTAACGTTTGTAGACTTTTCAGAGCGGCGTGTCCCAGTGCCTGTGGTCACCATAGCGATGATGCTGTGTGACAGCATGTCAGCAGTGCTCTCTGCTGTCAGCTCTACGTTCTCTGTGTCGCAGGGATCTGGGCCATTGTCAGCATTCAACGCTTATTTGGAACGGCAGACTAAATTGTACCACTGGCATTTCATCCCTTCAGTGGGTGTGTTTTTACTAAACTGTAGAGGGGGTGGACAAAATAACAGGGACACCTCACGGTCAGATGCAAGAGAATACGATAGTTTTGCAACAAATACTACTTCATCTAGATTTACATGGAAACAAAAACATGATACATTATAATTTGCAGAGCAAACACTGTAACTGTTTGTTTTGTTGAATTTCTATTAGCTGATTTTTAATTTCACCGTGTTTTCATTCTTTTCCTGTTCCTGGAAAATAAAGCACAATATCTTTTTAAAGCATCAAATACAAGAATTCCCACATGCATAAAGACACACAATTCAACTGAAAAACAAATCCAGAACTAAGATTAAGGTCTTTGACAGGCTTTAATTCAGCTCTGTGATTTGTGGTAGTTTGTGGTGTTCTTGTAGTGAAACAGAGTCACCCGAAACTAAACATGATTACTTTGATGGGGCTTACTGTCGTGTCCTCCTGCATCACACACACAATCAATTTACACCCGAGGCTGTTTCTGTGTGCTTGTTCAAACAGTCACTGGTGGAGAGTGTTATTTGTATACTTGTGTAGTTGTCTTTTGTTACTGATTGTGATTGTTAACGATTGGGCATTTGTTAAATACTGTATGTTTATCAGAACAGCACCAGTCAAATGTTTGGACACATTTTCTCATTCGATTCAATTCAATGAGAAAGTGTGTCCAAACTTTTGACTGGTAATGTAAGTGTGTATTAGAGTATTTGAAGTATCAGACCCTGGTCCAGATGGCCATAGGGCAGGATGACAACAGGATAAATGAGCCTCTTTTTTCCCCGAGAAGTGTGTCAACGTGTGTGTGGTTGTGTGTAAGTGTGTGTGCGTGTGTGTTTGTGTCCCCGCAGAGCCTCCCACCTAATAGAAGTCACAAAATGAATCACCCCTACCGTGTCAGTCTAAAAATAACTCACAGAGGGTGTTTTTTCTGGACCTGGCTGTGCACGGAGCAGCGACGTGTGGCAGGTTGTCTCGGCCGGTCTACCATATGGTTCGCCAAACGCCTCACATCCTCCACGCAGTCATGATGGTGGTTTTTACTTTGGCAGTGGAATGTAGCTAGACTGTGTTTGCATAACGTTTAGTGGTGTTTACACTTTGGATTTTAGTTTTCCCTCCCCACTGTGGGACAGTCAGTGGACACCATGACAATGGAAGTAACCCATGCTAAGTGGAAGGAGTAAATAAGTCAAATTATACTGATAACTGATAAACCGATTGCCTGATCCCTATTCTTTATCTTTCATTATATCATCTCTAAATTGTATCTCTAAGACGATTTTCTATATGATTGTTTCAAAACTTCCAGCATGATGCCTGGTTTTATTATTTCTGCAGTCATTAAAAAAGTATGTTGTATAAACTGCAATATGTAATTTGCGTGTTGCAGTAACCTCTCCTAAAAATGTTCCTGTGAACAACACTGAGGACATGACCTCCGTGTCCCAGCTATAGCCACCGTGCTTGGTGTCCAGTGGTCCAGGGAGAAAAGAGGCTTATTTTTTTCCACTCTGGATATTTGATTTCATGGCAACCAGTTTAATTCACCACTTTTCACCTATGAATAAAAAGACTGGGCATTGTTGTGGAGATATGCAATTCTGCTTTTCCCCAACATGCAAAATGTATTTGTCTACATGTCTGTCTCCTCAATCAATATGCGAGACACTACAAATGCTTAAGAGGATTGAGAGGAGTGGTTGAGCCGAGTCATTTTAAACTAATGTGTTTTTATTTTTTTCCTCTCTGCAGTGAATGGTACATGAACGGGAACTACCTTGTGATCATTGTATCTATTGCAGTAATACTACCTCTGGCTCTCATGAAACAGCTAGGTAAGTACAGCACTTGGTACATTATGTAGCCACTGCAACTGCAAACACCCGCTACGGGATTATGTGTAACTACTGTTTAACATCCAGCAAAAATGCTAAGCTACTGGTGCAGGATCACAAGTGACATCACCGAGACCGCCAACTGACTCTGTCATATTTGTTACAAAATAAGCAATTTGTATCTTTAGTTTGATAACAGTATCCAGCAAAAGCATGTTAGACAAGTAGTATTCCAGCAGCAGCAACAACTCAAACTCAAACTTTTCATTGTTCAGAAGAAGCATGTGCTTTAACAAAACGGCTTTGAACTATACTACTATTGAATCAAATTGAAAATACCTAGTCCTCAGGTATGAACATTTTGGAATGAAGCCTTGAATATTGTTGATAAAAACATACTTTCTCCCAACATTACATGAAACATCACAGATGGAAAGAGGAACAAAAAAGCAGGGAGAGACGGAAGTGGGAAATGGGGAATGGGGGCATATTGTCTCCTGCCGAGACTTCAAGGACAACAGAGCCAGTCAGTTAGAATCCAGCAATGAGCTCCGACTCAGCAGCATCTTAAAGGAGAAATACACAACACTCGCAAAAATACCAGCAAATAACGATTTGCCATGTAAATAAATAGTGGCGTAATGTTGTTCTCCTCCGTCTGCTTTGTTGAAATAGCCAGGCGGGCACCGCGTGCTTCTAGTAGATGTTAGATGTTGGTGCATGTTAGTACATGTTAGTGCATGTGAACGTGCAAAGGCAAACTTCTCTCATGTGCACGGCTAAACAGTGGGATTACAGGGTCACATGATAAGCCATGGGGCCCTAAAGACTTGGGAAGAGATGTTTGTAATGTTGGTGGACAACACGTTTCAATCAGTGGGCCCTAAAAGTTGTTATTTTCGATCGTGTGATTAGCTTTGTTGGCCCCTTGGATGAATGGAGATTTTCATTGAACTTTTTTTGCTTTCGCTCCAATGATCAACTTTCAGGGGAATGATCGGAGCACCTTCGTTCTCTTCATGAATCCAAGTTAGCACCATTAGTGAGAGCAGAGTAACAGAATTCAAAAGGAAAAACTGATTTCACTGGTGCTAATTGGAAACAAGCATCATTTGTATGTTTTCCAACCTTAACCCCGAGCGTTTGTGTTTTAGGATACCTGGGATACACCAGTGGTTTCTCCCTGAGCTGCATGGTTTTCTTCCTCATTTCGGTACGTCCTCTATTCCTACATGTGATCTTGACTTGTCTTGCCTTTGGTTTCTGGTCTGTTGGCAGAAACATCAAGGCAGCATATTCACATGCACTGGGATCATCATCTCTTTACTATTCCCTGCTCGCTCGACTCATTGCAGAGGACAAATGTCGGCACGCCGGGGTTCCTGGCTCTGTGTGTCTCTTGTCTTTCTCTGACCTAGTTTCGGCTGTGTGATCAGTAATCACTGCATTGCCCTCTGAGGCTCCGTCTCAGTACCATATTTTCGCCCTGTCCTTATGCTAACTGTGTCCCACAGACCTGTTTACTGCTTAACGCCTCTCCTCTGCACTGCACAGGTCATCTACAAGAAGTTCAATACCCCGTGCCCATTCACGGACTTTTCATTCAATAGCACTGCTAGCGTGCTGAATGTAAGCGCCATGGATCCTGGTGGGGAGCCCGATCCTGCCTGCATTCCCAAAATGGCCAACCTCAACTCCCAAGTAGGTGTTTTTTGTGCATGATACCGAGTCTCAAACGTCCACTGTCATGTCCACCGAGTGCCAGTGACTATGTGATAGTCATCTCCAGCATGTTGCGGGTCACAATCCAGGCATGGGAATTGCACTTGGTTTGAAGCACTCAGGGCTTTCATCATGCTGTTAATGATAGACAATATGTCTGTGATTAATGGAAGGAGCAAAGACGGACAGGGACCTCCGAGCTGTCTGCACCTGTCTGCGGGGGAACACGCGTTGCTTTGACATTCTGTTGCTGTCAGTGAGATCATCAAGTTTGCTCTTTGTGGGGCAGAGATGTTAGTACCCACTTTTTACACTCAACACATACTTTTAAAAACAGGAAAAAGGACTGTTAATGATAGCTGGAGTCTTTATTATCCCTTAAAGATGAATGAGACATTCTTAACCCAGACCTGAAAGACAATCACCGCTGCTCAGCAGTTTACGAGCAAGGCTGAAGCTTGTCTGCAGCAGAGACAGAGTTAATGGCAGGGAAACATGTAGCCCTGTGTGATATGTCTGACCCAGTAATGGGCAGTGGGGTTGGTGGTGAGACGCCTGGGATGCCGCTGCTGTATCTATGGTGACCTGTTGGGGTTCATTTTCAGACGGCCTACACCATCCCCATCCTGGCGTTCGCCTTTGTGTGTCACCCCGAGGTCCTGCCCATCTACACAGAGCTGCGCAAGTATGTTGGAAAGCGCTCGCTAACCTTTCTGACAGGAAATCCGTTGCATAAAACGAGGAGATCTGATTTGTGCTCGGCTGATCACAACCTAGTCACGTGCACTGCTTTCACTTTATGCGTTGGCACTGCTTGTATGATGTAGCATGTTGTTAGTTCAAATGTATCATCCTGCCTGTTGCAGTTTCCTACGGCTAAGGAAAGCACCATAACTCAAGTTGTTTTTTTAACTGTGCTACATGCTCTCTATATGAGAGTGGATGCTCTGATGTTATGTGTGCAAATTAGTTTTTGTGTGTGTGTGTGTGTGTGTGTGTGTGTGTGTGTGTGTGACATCACATTGCAATATCTTCTGATTTCAGTCCCACCAAGAAAAAGATGCAGCATGTGGCCAACATCTCCATTGCAGTCATGTACTGCATGTACTTCCTGGCTGCTCTTTTTGGATACTTAACTTTCTATGGTGAGGCCTGGTCCTCTTCCCATTACAGAACAGCGTGTGTCAAATTTTATTTTTACTTTAATTGCTCTAATTTATTGTTACACGGTTATCAGCACAAGTCTGAATCACTATGTTGAAGACCGTGAAAGCGTCATGATGCGTCTTCTCCCTCTAGTGGTCATAATGTGGACCTGATATGAACCATTTATTATTCCAACATAATCCATTGGACTGCAAATACATCATTATTTTTGAACGTTTTATTAAATAGTTGAAATAGTAAAAAAATATAAAATATTAATATTAAAAAGTAGAATTTTACATAAATTCATTAGGTTATTAATGAATGATCTTTGCATTGTACTCATTGGTGTTGACATAGCAGTCAATATTACTATTTGACTTGTATTGTAAGTAGCCTATATCATTATTATTTCATGTCATCACTGTACAAGGAAAGGACGGGTGTTCTCCCGTAATTAAAACTACATTTAAATGTTTCTTTTTTTTCTTTCAGGGGAAGTGGAAGCAGAGCTGCTTCACACCTACAGTCGCATAGACCCGTATGATACTTTGATTTTGTGTGTGCGTGTGGCTGTACTCATTGCTGTCACACTCACTGTACCCATTGTGCTCTTTCCTGTAAGTACAATTTTAGCACCTTAAGTCAACACATTGGCTCAAATCCGCTATTTTCTTCATGCAGTGACATGTATGAATGTCTTTTTTATTTTACTCAGGTGCGAAGAGCAATCCAGCAGATGATATTTCCCAACAAGACCTTCAACTGGCCCCGTCACATCGCCATTGCCTTCGTTCTGCTCACTTTCATCAACATGCTGGTCATCTTTGCTCCCAACATCCTGGGCATCTTTGGGGTCATTGGTAGGTTGGACCTCCACTGACTGGGACACCTGAGTATAGTCTCCATGATCTCTTTAAAGCCTATGCATGTATTTTCCTATTTGTTTTTTTACACATGCGAGTGTATTATTATATAAATGTGATTTATTTCCCTCCTTCTTCTTGTACATTCCATATAATAACTAATGAGGGTGGGAGTGAAGGGATTGAGAACTCACACCGAATTGGTTTCATGAATGATTTTCTGCCTTTTGTCTGCTTTCCAGGTGCCACATCTGCCCCATGTCTCATCTTCATATTCCCTGCTGTCTTCTACATTCGTATTGTTCCCAAAGAAGAGGAGCCAATGACCTCATTCCCCAAAGTCATGGTGAGCATCTCATAGGAATAACATGAGCGTGAGAATAAGGACATTTGTAGACAGTGAGATGATATAGACAGATGTAGAATTAACGACAATTAACGGGTTGCTTTATATACACGTGGTTGGCGGATAGGACACTATGTACCGTGTGCTAATATTTGTCATGATTCCAAAATTAAAATATATAATTGATTTTTTTAATCTCATGGTATAATGTTGCATTGTTTTTTCATTAACAATTATTTAGAGTTGATTGCAATTCTTTAAAAAGGGATAATTTTTGTGCAATGAGGAAGGGATGTTTGAGGTACTTTTACATTATCAGTGTATTATTTACAGTAGATGGTCATCTCACGCTCAGTTCAGAAAAGTATCAGCAGGGAAGCAAAGCAATGAACCGATCAAATTATATTTGATCCACCTAAAAGAACAGCTTCATGAATAGAATCTAAATCAATTTAAGCATTTTCTATATTTTTTATATTTTCTGATGGATATTAAAAAATTGACTCATCCTTGTTGAAGGCAAAATCTCTGGCTAAAACTTTTTTTTGATTTTCAATTGGAATTACTGTGAATATCGTGACGCTGTCTGAGAAATAGGCATCAAGTCTACATACAATAATCTCTCTATTACCTGTTCCTTTGTAACTCTCTTTAACTCAGTCACTCCTCCTCTCTTCTAGGCCGTCTGTTTTGCTGCGATAGGCGTCCTGTTTATGATCATGAGCCTCAGCTTTATCATCATTGATTGGACGTCGGGCAGCAGCAAAGCCAGCAGTGGTCACTAGGCATTTTTTTCAGGTTTTTTATTGTTGATTTTGATCTGTATCGTGATGTTAAACGTTTTTACTTTGGATAATGTTTGACTTTGAAGATGCCCTACCATGTCCATTAGAGAATATTGGTCACTGAGAAGGAGTCATTTTCTCCACGAAAGCGCTTCCTCTAATGACGAGTTTCACTGTTCATCCAGTGGCTGCAGATCCGGGCCCGTCTGCAAAGTTAACAGTTGCACTTACAAAACCGGTCAGGCGCATGAATATTAACGCTGACATTAGGAGGCTGTGCTTTGTCAGAAGGAAGTAAAAACTAGATTAATAAGAAAAAACTCATACGCGTGTCACTGCGTCACACCTTTCTACTCCCTAAAATTACCTGCAATCTGCTACTCTAGAAAACATTGGCGCATCCTCCATTTTAACTGTTGATAAAAATCTACTCAATGATAGACAATTATTAATTTATGATTTTTATATATATTATTAATATTATTAAGTTATTTGAATAACTACACATGTATCAATCTGTGCAACTGCAGGTGAAAGTAATAGTAAAAGCACAGAAAGAAAGATAAGATATTTGTGAAATTCGCTTGATTTATGCCACTTAACATGCTGTATACAGTGAGTTTGAGGTTACAGCCAACAGCTGGTTAGCTTAGCCTAGCAAAAAGACTGGAAAATGTTTTTTAAAGTGTGCACCCTCGCACTGCTCCAACTTGAATATTTTAAGGTTTGGAGTTGTCAACATTCTCGTCTCTGACTGAGCGGGGTGCTAAATCACACAGAAATGATGTGGTAGATAGTTGTGAGCACATTTATTGAGCACATTTATCAAAACATTCCCTACATAATATGATGAAGATGTATATTTTTTATTATGAATCACCACTAGTGGAATCTCAGAAGACGCAGAATGAGCTGACGACTTGATCAAGCTTGTCTTTTCAGGTTAGGAAGGTTATTAAATAACTCCAGATCTCCACGTAAAACAATGCCTTTGTTTCTTTTAGTATTACTGTGTAAATGAAAGAAAGAAATGGTACCGAAGACCTCATCAGTTGGATTGTGAAGATTAAATTGATAAACTAAATCTAAAAGGAAAAAAAAGGCCACTGCTCATTGTTTTGCTGCATGACTTGTTTTCCTGAAAGATGTGTTGTTTCCCAACATTTACTGGAAGTCATCCGAAATAACCAAACCAAGAAAACAACAGGGTCACAAGAAGTGGTTAGTAACAGTTGTGTGTCTGTAAGTATTTCTGTGTCCAGCACAAGCTTCATCCCGAACAGAAATGACAGAATGGGGAGACAATTAACAATTAATTGTGGTTAGCAACAGCACTTTCCACCGGATAAGCACAACTTGTTTCCATCAGTAAGTTTAAAGAAAAATTATTTAGTTGCGGAAGATGTGGTTTAAGGGTATTTACCTTTTGTATAACTTAATCTTTGGTGATGTAATCAATCTAATGTAGATTATGAGAAATTTAGCAATGCATCGATGGTATAATATGGATGTCTTCTCAAACATTACTTGAAAAAACGTTAAAGCTAGTTTTCTCGTGGGCCCCTGCTACCATTCGTTTCCTCCTCTGGTCCTTTCTGTAGCAAAAATAACTAATCAGTTGGATGTACTGGTGTCCGTGTTGTTTAAAGAATAAAACATGGCTCCACTGTATTTGAACCATCATACTGTACCTATAAGCATTAGTATTGATAAACCCGGAGCTATACTCTGATCAGAAGTATATTTCTAGTGGTCGTCTCCTACCATTGAAAGATTAACTGTCGTATTGAACTTCATGTTTAATGTTTATTTGGTTGTGTTCCAGTGATGCAATACAAATCCTGTTAACGATTGATTTTGTGTGGGTTCCTCTTCTTAAATTTGTCATTTATAGTCGGTGTGATATCATCAGTGGTAAAGTTTGAGTTGTTTATGACTCCCCTCCTGCTTGTTGGCAGAATATAACTTTTTAACACTGAGTTGTTGGTGAGCTGGTATACTGGCACATATTTCTATATATTTTTTTATGATCAACTCTGTTTCACCAGATGGCAGTGAGTGCTGTGAGGGTAAGTCAGTACTAGTTAAACAACAAACGTCTTTTGATCTTATGTTTTCATATCATATCCAGATGTTTGGTTGTCTTTATGTAACTGTGAGCAGAGGGAATCATGTGAATCAGCCACTGGGGTATAACATAGTGTTTGGTGTTGTTTAACCAATGCAAGGCGTATATTTATCCTGTTTCTGGTTTGACGTGAGTCATTTTTAATTGGTGCACACGTACAAGACTTCAAAACCTGACAACACTTTTAAAAGAATATCAATAAACATGAGGCAACAAAGTGAGGGGATGCATTGTGTTAGTGGCTGATACAAGATGATCTCTGATGACCTCTATTTAGATCTCAATGTTGTTAGTTTCTCTCTGTGTGATTTATTAAAATGTAAATGATTGAATAGTAACATATTAAATATTGACATTGGCCAGCATTTATAAATAATGTATATAAATGTATACCCTTTATATTCTATATCCATATTTAGTTTGTACAATATAAATTGCTATTAAAGTTTTAGTCCAATTAAAAATATAAATGTAATCATATTCAAAGTGCTTTTAGACTTCTTTGTCCTTCATTTCAGGTCAATTTTCTTGTATCTCTTTATATTTTAATATGATGCTGGCAGTTATTGTACTGTAAACAATGTGGCAATAAAGATAATGAAGTAACACAACTTTGATCGTTCATCACCTGTCAGATATGGCCATCAGATTTTCAAGACTTTGATAATTCCACATTTTTTAAATGATGAAAATAGAAATAATGAAGCGTAAAAAAATGAGGGCTTGAGCCCACAAGGTGTCACTAAAGTTCTGTGGTTATTAGCCGTCGAGAATCAAATATTACACATCTTAACAATGTTTGGCTTTTGCACATGCCAGTGCAGATATAGAATATGATACATGATTAAACACTTGGATAAACAAATTATTGAATCAAATTTGAAGCATTGTTAAACCAATTAGATATAAAATTCATTAATATGTATATATATATATATAATATATATACATACACACACATATATATATATATATATATATATATATATATATATACATACATACATATATATATATATATACATATACATACACACATATATACATATATATATACATATACATACACACATATATACATATATATACATATATATACATATATATACATACATATATATATATATATATATACACATACATATATACACACATTTAGCCAATAATTTATTGTGTTGCTCGTAAAGCTCAACTTTGATTTCCATCCTTTTAGTTGGAATTGAATGTTCTTAAACCGTGGTGTTTCTACTTGTATCTACTTCATATTTTTTTCCATCATTGATATATGTTTTACACCAGTAAGTTGTAAAATGAGGCAGACTGGTTAATGGTGCTTGCTTTAGCCTACAAATATAGGCTATTCAAAAATAAAATAAAAAACGCCTCGAGTCTGTCTTCTCGCCTAATGGGGAATCAAATAAACCCCTGATTTGTTTTGCACTCCAGGCAGCGTAGACCAGATGAAAATGCAAGGCAGCGCATGGACGACGCAGCAACCCACCTTTAACTACATGTCCCATGATGCACTCGGAGTGGGCGTTTTCGTGTTTTCCCCGGTGAGGGCTGGACCAGCTGCTGTGCAGTGGGGAGGTAACGGTGCCGTCTCGCTGTGTGTGTCGGGCGTACGGGAACTTCACCGCGGCTACGGGTGTGGCTTTAAAACGTGATACAACTGCAGCAATAGGGATTAAAATACAAAAAGAGAAGACGTACAACAGATAAATATCAGCGTGTGTGTGTCCGGTAGCCTCGCTGGCAGCAGGAATCCGTGTGTTCGCTTTTCAGCAGCTGGAATACTTTTTCTTTTTTTTTTCAGCCGAACTTTGTGGTTCGTTTTTCGCGTGTTGAAATCCGCTCGAATGTTTTGCTGAAGGAAACACCGATCCGCTACAGGTCGACCGACCACTAAAACTTTTTTAAATCTTTTTTTTTTGTCCGACTGGACAACTTCTCCGTTCTCCCAACAAACCACCGATGACTGACTGAACAACCGACGAGTGATTTTGACAAATTAGAAATCCGTGTTCACGCGCTGGAGGAACTCGCCGTTCCGTCTCGCGGATGAACGGACTCCGTCACGTTTGACATAAAAAAACAGGGAAGTCTGCCTCACTCAACGTCAACCCTTGGTGGTATTTGTTAAAAAAAGAGGTCCTCGGACTCGGGCGTTAAAATATCAGTACATATATTTTTTTTCCTGTTGATATTTGCCCACTAAGCAGCAGTCCTGAAGCGCGCACTAGGAACCATGGGGTGTACAGTCAGTCAGGAGGATAAAGCCGCGGCCGAGAGGTCTAAAATGATTGATAAAAACCTGAAAGAAGATGGAGAGAAGTCTGCGAAAGAGGTGAAGCTGCTGCTGCTGGGTGAGTAGTCCTCTCGGGTAAAAGCACCACGTTAATGAGCCCGCGGGCCGCTCGCGCGACGGCGGCAAGCACTTGACACACGAGCTCATCGGACAAAAAGTCCACGAGCGAGTTGCACTGTTTTTTCGGTCATTGATATGTGGCTTTCCTTCAAGTTCTGCCCCTATTGACGTGGTTTTATTTTGGTTCTGGTTAATACTCCGGACCTCCTTGGGGTGTTTTGGGCTGAGTGTGGAAGAAAGCGGTCACGTGAACGTGGCTTTCCTCAGTTCACTTGTCAAAAGTCGCATGTCTTGACCTTTGCCCTCATTCTAGGCCCCGCTCTGATAGACGCCCATGTGCTTCACTGACTATGGATTTTCATTATTTTTTTTCTTTTTCGGTTTGGAGATGAAACGCCTCCTTTGATGACGTTAACTGCTAAACCCCTGGATGTTGAGTGAGGGTTCAAGAGCAGAGTGTCTGATTTATTTTGACAGGGCGGTGAAAAAATAGGCGGTCTTACATCTGCGGTGGTTTCCTCCCAGCAGGACTGAGCCGAGGGGGTCAGACGTGACTGACTGGATCTGGTTGATAATGAGTGGGCTGCTGTTTGGACAGAGGGCGAACAGCCCTCACTGTTCCCAGCGTTGGCTGGAGCTCTCACACGTAAACACACAACAACCGGTTTGAGAGCCTGGTAGCAAGCGGGACGGAGACTTTCCCAGGCTTTTAAATGTGTCTCCCTTTTGACTTTCTGCTCTCCGAATGCAACATCAGGCTGCTGGACATGCATTGCCTTTGTCTGCAAAATCTTGTTTTAATTCCCACGCGGTTTTTCCATTTTAGCTGGTCCCTTTTACTTCTTACTTTACTGCCTGCTTTTCATGCATCCATCGAGATTTAGAGGCTTACTTAAAATGTCTCATTAATGCGTAGAGAAAGAAATCTGCAAGTCTGATTGGCTGCTGCTTATTAACCACTACTTTTTATTTATTGAAAGTTCAAATCAATAAATTCCGTCATGTGTTTTAACTTGCACCCATTGATTGACACTGGAGATCACTGTAATTACTGCTCCAGGGAAGTCAATGCAATTTTGAATAGAATTTCAGACTGATTCTATTAAAAACATCTCGTGGAACATATGCTCTGCTTTGAATTAATATTGATCCTATGAGCAGAGAAATACACGTGAAATATTATTATTAATTCCCCACTTTTCGAAAATACTCTTTCAAAAATCTTATAAGTAGCTTGGTGAGTGAGTGAGTGTTGATCGGTGATCACCGAAATCACAAAGGAGATTTGTCATCCTCTTTCCTGACGGAGCGCAGGACTTTCTGCTTAAACTGAGAGGGAACACGTTCTGTGTTTTTCCCTCCCGGGTCTTTGAAGAGACGGCTGGTTGTTAAGTTGTGCCCCTGGTTAGGAGGCTAATTACATGCTCTGCTCTGTACGTCAGGTCTCATATCAGTAATTACCATCCGGCTCAGCGTGAGAGGGTTGAGGGGAATTATGGGGGCGGAGATCTGAATCTGAACCAAGGGGTTCGGAAGACTTTTCCTCCCCAAAATATTCCTTTGAAATAGAACCAGATTCATTTGATGCCGCACTCTGTTCCAGCTCCGTCAAAGAGCGTGATCTATGGGGCAGTATGTGTGACATCCTTCCAGAGGTGCTACGTCACGCCTCCAGGTGTGCCTTGCAGCATTTGCACCTTTTGCGCTGGTATCTGTTGGAACAGCTGATAAAGGGCTCTGCTTCCTCCGTGGCCACGCCCCCAAACCGCCCCGCTCCATCCGCCCAATGAGGCCCAACTTGTAAAGGGAAATCCCGTGTTTCTCCCCAAGAAAAACACAAAAGGCTCTTGAGACGACGTGTGGAGGCATGATGAATGTTTCTACTGAAATGATGTATATCTCACAAGCGGAGGAAGTCTAACCACAAACGGCTTCATCGAAAAGTTCACACTCAATGTTTTACCTGGTCTGAAGAAAAGCTGCATTTTGGATTTCCGTCTTTTAAAACTACTTCCCTGCGATGCCTTCCCTCCAAGACGTCTGTATTGGATTGTTTTGTCTTGTTAGATGACCCCAGAGAAAGCCATTAGTTAATGTAGCGTAGAGGACTCCATACCGCGGAGGCTTAAGCTTTCATTAACGGGAAACACTCATTCTCAGGCTGGGCTGCTGATTCAGGTCTTTGATTGACATTTAATTTCCTCCAGCCACAATAATAAATTCTCCTCTCACCTAAGTTGATTTTTCTCTATTCTTTGGCTTACCAAGCAGTTTTTTGCGTCCGCTCGGCACATCGATAAGTTCCTATTGGCAGTCTGCTCTGCATAAACTGCAAGAACAGGAGCCCAGCTGCAGGAAATATATCTGCAGGATTTAGTGCACACACACACACTTCTGTGTTAGTTGTACATAAACTCGTTGGCACAGAGGCTTGATAGGCAATGCTGTTATGTAAAAATGCTGGCATACTGAATGCATGAATGCACGCTGCCTGTGGGCACAGTAGAAAGACTCCCCTACCTCGAACACAGATATGAAGACATTTTTATGAAAAACGCCATTTGACACATGTGCACATTAACAAAGAAGCTCGCAGCACAAGTGTGTAGCACTGTCAGCTTGACATAGTTGAGGTGATGAATGAAGCGGAATAAAAACAATTTTAGCAGGCTGCCTCGAGGATGATGCTGATCATGTTCCGGGAAGAGAACATGTCCCGGTCTATTTTTAAGTGAGAGTGTGGCAGCCCTGCTCTTGGTTTCCATGGAGGTCGGTGGAGGTGTGGTTCCTTCATGGCGTGTTCCACGAGGCTTTTCACTGCAGTGCATGTTACAGACTGCGTTCTTGGCTAGTTGGATTTGCTCTGATTCCATCCGCCGCCCCTCGTGGTCATTGCAGCGAAGGCTGACGTACTGCGTAGCCTGCAGGCGGCATTACTCCTGATCCCAGCATCGACTAGTTACCCCAAGATGAAGGCGCCATTCTCACCATGAGAAATGTGCTGTCAATGCTTTGTGTGGAGAGGGGATGTAGAGACGAGCTCATGCAGCTCAACAGGTCACCTTGACTGTTCTTCACCTGGAGACATTGGTCATTATTATGAACCAACGTTATGTTGTTTTAACCACTGAAGAAGGAAAGAACATATGACATGAAACCAACCGTTTTCACTTCCTCTTTTATCTGGAGCGTGCGAGAGGGCGCTTGCCTGTTAATCTGCATACTTTTTAAGGCCTTGGTGAGGAAGTGGGGAAATGGACTCTCAATTGACTCGCAGTGTTTTGGACGATGTGAGCTTCAAGCAAAGATTTGGGTAGATAAAGACGAATATTGGACAATACGACATCTATTGTTTTCTTGGGTTGAAATCAATAAAAACAAATACTTACTGCAAATGTGTGCTGTGCAGATAGAAAAACAAGTTAGACAATGCTAATTAAACACAGTACCTTTCTTATCAACACATTGTATGATAAAAATAGTTCCGGATAGATAGATTGCATGCATAGGAAGTATGAATGTCCCTAAATAGAACTTGTAACTAAGTTCAAAGTAAAACTTGTGTTCCCTTTTATCTCGTTTGCGCTTATCTCGTCTTGACGTCACATCCCCCGGGCCAAGCTTTGACCACAGCACCCGTCGGTGAACCTTCTATATGAAAAAATAGAAGAATATATCCGTAGAACGTTTTTTGCATTATCGTTTCTCATTATCCTCGTTGCAATAACAGGCCGCAGCCAGACGCCCCAAGGTGACATTCTAGCTCATCTAATTTTATTGTTTTTTAATCACTGTCACACATCCTCAACGGTAATTTCCTCTTCCAGTGTAAAAAACGGTTATCTTCATCTCTCCTAATCGCTTTTGTTTCGGTTGTTTTCTCAAAGCTTAGTGCCGCACACTCTGTATTGATCAGAGACACGTAGCACAACAACCAATGCTACCATTTGTGAACGCACAACCTAAACACAGGTGAGCGGGGACACCTGAGCTGTAGACACTGTGGTGGCCTGCTTAGCGAGTCAGCGAGCTCAGGCTCCCCATCCCCTCTGATCCCGTCATTATCGCTTTGCCAGTTGGTGATTAGAGTTGGCGAAGCCGCTCCTGTCGGGCCCAACTCCTCCTCCGCTTCCTCCTTCTACTTCTCCAGGTTGCGGAAAGGTGACCAGAAAGAACTGAAGAAATAAAACGTAACATGCGTGGCGATGTTTTTGCAATATTTCTCTTAAAAAGATCTAGCAGGCGGTGGCAATATATGCCCACATGGTTGCTTATTGACTGTACACAGTCATGTTTGATGACAACGGCAGGTGACACGTGTGTAGTGCTGGTCGGCCCGTGTGGTCTGTGCTGCACAGACACCCAGTACCTCCCTCTTATTAGAGGCAGTGTCTGACTTTCAGTGGGTGTAATCACTGTGGGATGATTATAGAGCGCCCGGTTTCTCTGTAGAAAACAAGTCGGACTAACCTGCTCCTCCGGCGTAAACCGCTCTGCGTCTGCATTGAAATCTCCCCTCAGCATCAGCTGCCCATCGGCCACGTTCCGACTGATTCACACAACGAATGATTGCGCCAATATCAAGTTCATCAAATGACTGTTTTCTGCTTTTTTTTGGGTGACTACTCGACTGTCTGCACCACAGTGCTGCCCAATTAGCTGTATGACGCACCGGTCAGCCGGGTGTGTATGCGCAGGGGCAGAATATCCTGCAATTACAGAGCGCGCTCAGATGATAAAGCCTGCTCCCGCAGACTGTGTGTCTCAGTGCAAGTCCACAGAGACCGAGCTGCACTACTCTCTCTGCTCTGGAAACACTGATCGCATAGAGTCCTCCACCCATAACCTTACGTCTTGCCTCCACACGGCAAAATGGCTCTGCTGCTTCAAACCTACATTATTTAGGTTTGTGCTGTGTGTGTTTGTTGTGTATGTGTGTGTGGAATGGTGCTTAGAGGAGTGGCCACAGGGTGTGACGATGTTTGACACAGGACCAAA